TTATGAGGGGTTGAACGCGCCCGCCGCGCAGGACATCTGAAGAATTCTGCAATCCGGAATTCTTCAAAATGGGTTTCAGAATTGTTCAAAATCGACCCCGGAATTTTTCAACATCGATTCTGGTATTTTTCAAAAGTAGGCCGGGCATGTTCAACAACGTCCTCGGAGTTTTTCAAATTTACCTTTTTGGAGAAGTTTCCAGAGTCGCGCGTGATTTGCCACACCGTGTCTTTGGAAATCCACCGACGCGCGCGGTGCGCGGCGGCGGGCGATGGGACGGTGCGCCACCGTCCCCCCCGCGCTCGGCAACAAAAAGGGGGATCAGCAAGTGCCGAATAGCCCCCCTACGGGCGGCCACTCGATTGCGAATGGGTGACCGACCAGCAGCGCCAGCCAGAGTAAACAATATTCGAAGCAACGTGTACCCCGCGCGAAAGTTGTTCGACATCCCGGAATCCCCAGAACGTATCAATAGCACGTTGTGTCAATAAATTCTTCTCGTCGTGCTTGCGGCGATCCAGTCCTGCCAGCTGCGCGGATCGCGCCGCGCTGTGCGCTGACGCTCATGGAGTCGGGTAGTCCTCCTCCAGCTCGGAGGGAGAAGAGGGGGCCGATGACTTGCATGATGAGCTCCACTTCAGCAGTCGCTCGCGACTGGCGGTGCCACCATGGTTCTGCGGTATGGGGGACTGGAGCAATTGGGGCCGTCTTGCAGGCAAGCCGCCCGTGCCCCCGCCCGAGCACCAAGGAAACAGATATTGAAGGGCTGACGGTCATTATGTTGCCAATCGCGGTCCTTTTTATTGCCAACGAAGCAGCCCAGGCTTTGGACCAGCAGCTGATCACTTTTCGTTTGCGGCGGCCGCTTCAGTAGGTCGGGCTCCAAGGGAAGAGAAGAAGGGGAGAGGGAGGGCAGGAAGAGGTTGGTGAAGAGGACGAACAGACGGGGAGGGGGAGCTGCTCCGCCTTGCGAGCGCGCCGTTGACAAAGCTACCCTGCTAGCACGCCGAGAAGCACTCGGAGGAGCCATCAGTACGCATGGACATGGACATGGACCATGTTCGGTGTTTCCAGGGGGGCTGCAGATGATGACGAGACATGTTTGCGTGCTTGCCTGCTGGATATGCAGAGACGCACCTGCATTTTCCAGGGGTTGTCATAGGTGGTCGTGGTCCTGGCCCGACGTGTCCCTAGCTTTTCACACCACTTTGGAGCGCCAGACCCCCTGGGCCTCACGAGGAGCGCTCTGGTGGCCAAAGCCTTGGGGACATTTTGGGCCGGGTGCACCTCTGGCAGCACCCGAGCATTTTCGATCACGTTGGGCCTCGCCTCCTTCCCCCCCCTCCCTTCGCCACGACGCTCGGCGCAGCAAGCTACGGCCGCTCTGTGAACGGTCCCCCTCGGAATCCCGGCCCCGCCTCCACTTGCTCGCGGGCCGCGGCGGAGGTCGCTCTGCACGCTCCTGACGGTCATCGGCCCGTGCCTCCGCCAGAGTGAGAGGAGCTGGGGTAGGAGGAGCAGCAGCGAACGAAGTAGGACGAGGAGGAGTAGGAGAATGAGGGACAAGAGGAGAAGGGCGGCGGGAGGAGGAGGAGAAGTGGGAGGGAAGGAGGGGGGCGCAGAGCAGAAGGTGGAGGAGAATGGGGGAGGAAGATGGGGACATACAAGGAGGAGGAGGAGGAGGAGGAGGAGGAGGAGGAGAAGGAGAAGGAGAAGGAGAAGGAGGAGGATGCGCAGAAACAACAGCAGGAGGACCAGGAGTGACGGGGGAACGAAACAGTACGGACGAGTGCAACGCCGGAGAAAAGGGAAGGCGGGGGGGAGGCGGGCGGAGGGCGGATTTGAGGAGGATGGATGAAGATGAAGATGAACATGAATATTCAGATGGAGATGGAGATGGAGATGAAGATGAATCTGAAAATGACTATGAAGGCACATATGATGCTGATGATGATGATGATGATGCTGATGACGACGACGACGACGACAACGACGACGACGATGATGATGATGATGATGATGATGATGATGCTATGCATGATGATGCTGATGATGATGATGATGATGAAGGCAGTTATGCTGATGATGGTGCTGGTGGGTATGATGATGCTGATGCTGATGATTCGGATGATTGTGATGGTGATGATGGTGATGATGGTGATGATGGTGATGATGGTGATGATGGTGATGATGATGATGATGATGATGATGATGATATAGTGGCGAAGGCGACGATGGTGATGATGACGATGCTGATGATGATGATGATGATGATGATGCTCATGATGCTGGTGATGATGATCCTGGTGATGGGGATGGTGGTGATGATGGTACCGCTGATAATGATGGTGATGATGATGACGCTGCTGATGCTGATGATGCTGATGATGATGATGGTGATGTTGATGATGATGCTGCTGATGAGGATGGTGGTGATGCAGATGCTGACGATGCTGATGAGGATCGTGATGGTGATGGTGATTATGGCGATGACGGTGATGACGGTGATGCTTGTAACATTGGTGATGAGTATGATGGTGATGCTTATGATGATGGTGATGATGATCATGATGATGCTGATGTCGATGATGCTGATGATGTTGATGATGATGCTGATGCTGATGCTGATGCTAATGATGATGATGATGATGATGATGATGATGATGATGATGATGGTGGTGGTGGTGGTGGTGGCGATGATGATGATGATGGTGGTGGTGGTGGTGGCGATGATGATGCTGATGATGATGATGATGATGATGATGATGATGATGATGATGATGATGATGATGAGGATGGTGAGGATGATGGTGAGGATGATGGTGATGGTGAGGAGGAGGAGGATGATGAGGAGGAGGAGGAGGAGGAGGTGGAGGACGTTTACGAGACAATGCTGGCAATGAGGAGGATTTGGAGAAGGAACTAGTGAAGTGGGCTAGGGATGAGGGGGGGAGGAGGAATGAGAGACAAGGGAATGAGCTTGAGCGATGAAGGAAGGGGAGGAGACAGGATATTAGATGGGGAGCGAGGGCCAATGAGGGGAAGGAGGAACAGCAGCAGGGGCAGGAGGGTGAAGGAGGAGGAGGAGGAGGAGCACGAGGATCACAATGAGCATGAGGAGGACGACGAGGCATCAGCAGCAGGAGAAAGGGGGGGAAGAAGACCAGGAGCAGAAGCAGGGTGGATTGAGGAGCGGCGGAGTGAGGAAATGAGAACGTTGCAGCCTTGATCGGCCCTCCAGTGGTCGCCCATGGCAACTCTCTCGGCGGGGATACCCTCTCTGGAGCTCGCGACGTGGTGCATGGCGCGTGGCAGGCCCCGCGACAGCATCTCAAGCGCCTGGCGCGTTCGATACAGCCTCTACGTATGACCCAGTCCACAAGAACAAAACAAACATACCGTACTCGCTTCCAGTCCCTGGCAGACCTCTCTCACGGCTTCTTGAGCTCATGCATCTTACGGCAGATCCACGCCGCGTCGACGCGGCGGCGATGTCAGCTCGGGCGTTCAAGGCTGGCGGCCACTGGTGGCCTGAACCGTCCCAACCTCATGCGATCTCCGTGGCCCGGTAGCGGAGACTGCTTGATATTAAACGATCGATTTACCCGGAGTCAAAACCCAGCGTCCACGTCGAGACGAGAGGATCCAGTCTTACCCCGAGCAGCATTCGTTTGATGCGCGATACAATGTTGCGGCACAGCTGAGCGCGGCTACGACTCCCGAAGAGTTGAATGAACAGCTCGCGTAGTGCGGGTTATTGCCAGCTGAGGTGGGGGAGGGGATAGGGGAGGTCCATGGTCGGATCTGAGTGCTTCTGGTAGTTTCCGAAACAGTGCTTGCACTACTCCTCTGGCTGTCATGGCGGGCTTTGCCTAGCTTGATCAGTTTTCCGATTTGTGTTCAGAGGTTTCGCCTGGTAGGCTGCCGTGGGCGCCCAGTGGGCGCCCCGTGCACTGGGCGGGGCGCTTGGTGGGCGTCCCGTGAGCTGGACGGGTGCGGTGAGGTTTCGCCTGGTGGGTGGCCGTGGCCGCCTAGACGGCGTCCCGTTCGTTTGGCGGGTGCGGCGATGTTTCGCCTGGTGGGCGGCCATGGGCGCCTCGTGAGCGCCACATAGCTTACGCCACAAAGGACACAGCTTGCACCACGTAGCTTGCACCACATAGCTTCCACCACATCGATTACTATTGGGCACCTCTGTTCGACACTCCACGCCGTCTTGGCAGGCGCAACGCGCACTAGTCTACAGCTACTTACCAAATTTGTCCCGCCACGGGTGTGCGCCGCAGTTTTCGGCACTGTGTGGAACAGGTGGTGCACGAGCCGGAGGTACCTGAAGCGACGCTCGCCGTGCAACTTCTGCGTGCTGGGGTTCCTGGAAGCGGCAGCAAGTTAGATCGAGGACCATTGCAAATGTCCGGTCGCAGCACACGTCGTGGCCGCAAGTTTAACATGCCCCTGATTTTGTTCCCCAACACCCAAACACGCTCCTCCTCTACAATACCCACATTCGAACACAAGATGAGCTCGCGTGCATTATCTTGCTGATTTACGCCGTCTACAAAGCCACCAACCACTTCCGGTACAACCTCCTCTCAGAGGGCACTGGCGCACGTGAAGCGGTCACACAGTGGATTTGGAAAGGCGCCAAGAACCATCTCAAGGCGTCACGGGCACGCGACAACATATTAAACGCCATGCGCCAGGACACAGGCCTACCTCCAATACCGCTACATGTATGACGCGCAGATGCTGCCGACCACGGTTCTTCTTACGGCGTCTTCTAAATTTTCTTTATGTTTCCTTTTCGCTCCGACACCTTATTCGCCGTCCTGGACCCAACTCTGGCCCCGATTCCGGCTACGACGCCCAAGTTCGGCACTGGTACCAGGTCGATCTAGCACGTGCCCTACCCATGGGCAGACCGACGCGCTGCCGCACGGAATTGGGCATCGGTGTGTGCAACCAATCTGGTGTTCACGACCTCCTCCAGCACCACACACCTACGGCAATGCATGAGGGCAGAAACCGTAACGCGACCGGGTCGTCATGTCCACAACGATGAGGCCAGGCACGACGTCGTTATCCAAGATCATGTGATCGGACAGTACCACATGACCGACTGTGGTGAATGCGAGCGACACGTCGCTGTCCAACGGCACCGACACGTGCAGAACGACGTCGCCGACCCCGACAGATGCGCGTACGACGTCGCTGACCAGCAGCCCAGAATCGAGCAGCACCGTGGTGTCGTCCACGTCGGAGCCACAAGCCACATCGCTACTCAGCAGTACCGGTACGAGAAGTACCATCCCGGCAACCAGAACGGAGCCGAGAGCCACGTCGCTGAATTGCATAACAGAACCGAGCAGTACCATGTTGCCCCCCATGAAAGGAGAAACCATTACCCTGCCTCCCAGCGCCACTGGAACGAGGACGATGGCCAGCGATAGCACAACTGCGACGACGTCTGTAACCATCAAGGCCTCATGTACCGCGTGGTCCATGACGACCGGATCAGAAACTACGCCGCTAAACCGTAATTCAGGATCAAGCCGTGCCGCTTTGCCGAGCACGCCGAAGTCGAGTTCCATGTCGCGGACCTGCAGCACCAAAGCGAGCGGTTCCACCTTTTCGATCACGACAGGCGTGCCTCACACGGTGGACATGCAGCTCAAGAAAAGCAGGACCACATTGCCCACCACGATTGCTTCCTGCACCACGATGCCATTCGTCGCTACGGAAATGAAGAGAATCACTTGCAAGAGCCCTGTCACAACGACGGTTGCGACCACCGTGGGATAAGTAAGTACAACGTCGTCGACCTCGACGGAGTTGGGCGCCACATCGCGATTCAGCCGTACCGAAGAAATCAGTACGATGTTGCCAGCTACGACAGAGACCAACACCACGTCGCCAACCTGCCCTCCGCAGTCGAACAATATGTTCAAGTGCGGGTGTTCTCGCGCCCTCACCTTTGAGGCCAGGGGCCAGGCGCTGAGCTCCCTAGGCAGCCGGCGCTCCACGCCTCCGTGTCGGCCTCGCTTCTCCTTCTCTCTGCGCATCCCTTACGCAGTTTTTTTAGGAGGCTGCCTGCACCACTGCTGTGCGCGCCCAGCCTTTTCCGCCCCTTCGTGGTAGGTCTCGGGACGGCTTCGCTGTGCACGCTCTACCAGGATTGTGATGTTAGTCTTTGCATTTGTACTTGATTGCTCGCGTGGGGCCCTTATGCGAATACAGGCGGTATATACACACCTCGGTGGGTTACGCGCGCGCGAGTTTCACCCCCCTTCCGTCCCGTTCTTTCTCCTCCTCTTCTTTCCTCCTTTTTTGTCAGTGACTGTCTGGACCGCCGGGGATTTCCGCACAACGCTCTCGCCCTTTCTCCTCCTCCTCGTCCTCCTCCTCCTCTTCCTCGCTTTCTCTTCCCTCCTCCGTCAACGCGTGCTCGAATTAGGTCGAGTACGCTCTGCGTTGACGTTCGATTAGCTGGCATGTGGGTTCCTGTCGATCGTAGGGAAATCAGTCGGTACAAGTTCCCCACCCGACAGGTTGGGGTCGTTAGATTTTAAGAACAGACCTCCCGGCCCGCTCGCCCTGCATACCACGGCCGCCAGATCCCCAGGCTACCGATAATCCCTGGTGTTCCCGCCCTCCCCCCGCCGTGCATACCGCGGCCGCCAAATCCCCAGGCTCCCGATAATGCCTGGTGGTCCGCCCCCCCACCGCGCCGACTCGTCCACTCTGCATACCGCGGCCGCCAGATCCCCAGGTCCCCTACAGAACAGAGCATGACACCACACCACCGAACAGAGCATATCAAGCATAACATACCATATCATGACAGACCATATTGTAACGTAGCACGCCATGCCAAAGCAGAGCATACCACAGCACAGCATCACAGCACATACTTGCGCAGGACGAAAGATTTTCCTCTTGAGGTGCAAATGGCGATGATGAGTTGGAAGTTAATAACCGGACCCCCTTCCCCCGTATAATCTTAACACGGGCGGGTTTTGGGGTCCGCAGATCCGATTTCCTGCGATTTCCCGTTTTACATGATTTACGAATCTAAATTTTAAACGAGGTAAAAATCGGATCCGCCGTAAAAATGAGACCGAGCACAGATCCAGCAAATCCGAAATCGGATCCGCGCGGACGGAAATCGGACCCACCGAAACAACCACCAAAGCCAGATTTGGATCCGCGCGAACATCATGGCATCCGACGGCGGTTATCTCACGCGCGTCTGCTCAAGATTTCAAGCCGTCGTTCCGGGCCCAAGAGGAAAAAACTTTCGTCCTGGGGATGAATCACTCCATAACATTACAAATTAAGAATTTCATATCAAGTCAACGAGGAAGCGAACATACCAAAACAGAGTTTGCCACATCTTCACATAATATGGCATGCCATGCCATAACACAACGCAGCATACGAACGCATGATATGACATGTCGGAACACATAACCTAACACAGCATAGCATGTCATAACACGGCATAACCCAGCATCATATAACATACCATGGCATAGCAAACCACAGCATAGCACAGCTTCTCAGCAAATCTCATTACATACAGCGACGAGGCATAATATGATAGAGCGCGGCATACGATGCTATATCATCGCAATGACGTAAGCTATGACATACTTGGCCGCACAGAACCAAGCATAATACCACACCTCGCAACGCAACATACGCGCGCCCGTGCGGACTCACCGCCCACTCTGCATAACCAACACAAGCTACCACCAGCACCACACCCCCGCACCGACTCGCCACTCTGCCCGCCGAGCCCACATCGTTCCAATGAGCGCGCGAACCTTCGGGATCAAACGCTGAAGGTTTCGGTGGGGATCGCTCGAAGCAAAATAGCTTGAGCCCGAATTTGTCCGTCCCGGCCGTGAGAGGGCTTGAGGATTCCCCAGTCGCGAGATTGCGCGTTGTAGCAACAACAACAAGTGCCACATTTATTGCACCACATAGCTTGCACCACATAGCGTATATCACATGGTTTGCACCAGGTAGTTCGCACGGCATAGCTTGGATAGCTTACACCGCGTATCTTATACCGCTCGGCATGAGCAAAAATAATGCAACGTCCAGATATCAGGGAAGCCACGCCGCCTTATAGGAAGGTCTGCCCCCTCTCATTCCCCCCTCGGTGCGCCACCGAAAGTGCTTCAAATTCCATTAATGGTCGGTTGGGCTTCGAGGGGATGCACGCGTCGCCATTGTCTGTCCTTCTCGCTTCGCTGTTGTCCGCCTCCTCCTCCTCATCGGGTTCTTGTTTCAATGCCAGCTTACCAGTGGCTGCGTGGCGTTGCATGAAAACAAGACCGCGTAGTTTACACCACATAGCGTGCACAGCATGGCTCACACGATATAGAGCGCACCACGTTGGTTGCACCAAATAGTCTACGTATACGCAGTGGAAGAACTCACTCTTTAGGGGTGTACGGTGGCGAGCCTGATTGTATCTTGTTGGGAATGGCGCTACATCATGCCATTGTGATGCGTGCGAGGGTTGCGGTGCAGTTAGATATGGGACCTCTTGGGAGGTAGTGGATACCACACAAGGAAGCTTTTTGGGGGGATGTGCCCGCCCCCGAAGCGACCATGCGTCGAGCAACGAACCACAACGCATTAAGGGCGCATGGACGGAACAACATTCATGCGCCACGCACATGTTGCTCGTGTGCCTACGAGACCTTGTGACCATATTCTCCCAAAGAATCTGGCCACATATTCGTCGAGAGACTGGGAGAAGAGGATGACGAGGAGGTCCATAAATAAGCCCAGGAACGTCATACGACGGGGAGGTCAAGGAACACTCGAACGGCCTCCCTTCTATCTCCCTAGGGGACTGCTGCAGAAAAGCTGCGTGGCAATGGACCATTGCGCAACTGATGCTCGCAATAAGGATTGCCACGCGGCTGATGCGCGTGACAATCGCAGTGCCACGCGATTGATGCGCGTAACACTTCTGCCTCCAACTTGTAAACATGGATTGGTGAGACCCGCGGCTCAGACGTGCGTAAAACTTTGCAATGCTGCGCGCGTCAGTGGTGTAACACTTCGTTGTTACGCGGCAGATGCGCGTAATATTTCGAAGCGTTACGCACTTGATGCGCGTAACATGTCGCCCTCAAACTTGTCACAACGCAGGTGTCGGCTAGACCCGTGGTTCAGATGCGCGAAGCATTTCGCCTTCAAATGTGGCAACTTATAAGGTTTGGTGAGACCTGGATGCGCGTAACACTGCGCAGTTAAGGTTTCGGTCCCGCGGCCCAGATGCGCGCAACGCTTCGCCCTCGAGCCTGCAGACTCACTGGTCTGCGGGACCCGTTGTTCTGAACGACCGCTTTTCTGGGCGTTGGCGCGAAACATTGGCGTCACAACGAAGTGTTACGCGGACCCCTATCAGAATCGGAGCGTTACGCGATTGTTGCGCGTAGCACTTCGCCTTCAAACTTGTAAAAGAGAGTTGATGGGACCTCCTGGCGAATTTCTGGGCGACGACCCTCCAGGGATGCGTAACAACCGAGTTGCCCTCGCGTCTTCCCCAAACTTTGCCACCCCCCTTTGCCATATGGCATATGGTCGGGCAGGCGCGAAAGTTGCGTTGAGTTCGTTGATTCCTGTGTGATTCTAGCCATCAGCAAGGATGAAGCGGCCCAGGACGGGTCCCGAGAGGCTCAAGATGGGTTCCAAGAGTTGGGTCCCAGGAGACAATGTGGGCTCGATATGGCCCACGAGTGCCCCAGCATGGGTCCCAAGAGGCCTCCAAGAGGACACAGAAACCGAGACACACACACACACACGCTGGCACAATCCGCGTAGATGATCCACAATGGCATGCGCAATATTGACGTTGGCTGCATGTGCCAGTGCTCACGGGGTAAATGGAGTCGCGGATTGAACAACTAAAGCACGTTTGGTGATTGGATTCCTTTTTCGCTTAATGCAGAGGGTCTTGCAGGTCGATGGTTGATTGCGTGGGGCCCCCTGACGTTTTGACCCAGGGTATCGCCATAGTGTCCCATTTCGCCATCGCCATGTGGTGCGTGATGGGTCCCACGCGATGCTTACATGATTCGCCGTGCAGTCCCATGGTCTTTCGTTTCCTGTCCCCCGTCCAGGTTCGTTCCCCCGTCGCCTGCGCCAATTTTGAGGTCATCGCAATTCTGCTCGCCCCTACAGCCCGCTCCTTCACAAGACCCCTTCCACCCGATGCGCTGCCACTTTACCTGCTCGGAATGCTTCGCTATCGGTGGTGGCATCCACGTCAACGCGGTTGTGCAAAACGGGCACGTGCTATTTACCGGATATCAGACCCGACCGCATCAAGCAACACAGGTTGCCGTTGCATTGCAACCATGGCACATTTCGGAAGCCCATCCAACACACACACACACTCACACACACACACACGCACACACCAGTTTTGGCAGTTCTGGCACCAATTTACGCCAGCTCAGTTCGATTAGGGAGTTGCCAGAGCAACCGCAGAGCGCGCTTGTCGCGGGCTCGATTTGCTTGGCCCACGTGGTCCCTGCTGGGCCTTGTGTGCGACCAGTAGACGGCGGCCGTGATAGATGAATCCACAAGACGCCAATGCAAATTTATTGGGGGTTTGAGTGTGGGGTGTGGAAGCTTTTCTGCAGCCTCATCCCGCCTGTCGCGTTTGCGTCGTGCGTCATCTGCGTGCGAAGCTGAGCGCGAGTTTCCCAGTAGGACGCGTTGCTGGATGGTGGGCGGCGGACGACTGGTGTCGTGGCGTGGCATGGAGTGGCGTTTGGCGTCGTGGTGTGTGGGTGGTGTCGCTGTGTCGTGGTGTCGTCAAGTTGTGGTGTCGTAGTGTGTTGTCTTGTCGTGGGGTGCCGCGATGTTGTCGTGTCGTTATGGCGGCGTATCGTGGGGTGCCGTGTTGTCGTCGTGACACGGGGTTGTTTTGGGGTGTCGTTTTGTTGTCGTGCCGTGGAGTCGATGGAATGCTTTGGTGTGTGTGCGTCTCAGCTTTGGCATTTCTCTGCCCTTCTGCCATGATCGTCACGCG